TGATAAACGAACGATTTTGGTTTTGTCATACCACGTGACATTTCCCGTCACATGTATTGCCCTGACATATTGCTAGATGTCAATCAGGGACGGCGAATGTGAATTGACGATAAATTAAAAGTGTGTATTAATTTATCGATTTTGATTAGATCAAAATAATATTTCACGACGTTAGGCATCATGGTCGGGAACCTAATGGGTCGCACACAAAAGAGAATTGGAAGACTGCAAATTGTTAATTAATTAATTTAACAATCGTTGGATAAATTAATTAATTGAATTTCTTATTTATAATCCCGAATTAATTAATTGGATTAATTAATTCACGGACCGGGTTTGATTAATTGAATTAATTAAATATTGGACCGGACCGGGCGGGGTCCGTTTGGGTTTATATATATATGCAGCTAGGGTTTGAGGTCCATTAAGTTATTCATTGTTCTTGCTAGCACAAGAAAGAAATCCTAGCAGTTGCTGTTTTCTCTCTGTGTGGATTTCATTGGAGGCTGCACAATTGGACAGCTGTGGGAGGCAGATTCAAGCTGCTGGAAAGGAATAACGCGAAAGAGTTTGCAAATCACACAAAAGGTATATTTCTCATCACAGTTTTTATCTAAATACAAAGCTGAATTCTGAATGGGAATTGAAATTTGTTAGATTCCGCTGTGCATGTTTAAATCAATTCCCAACAGTTCATCCAACTCAACTCCTTCCAGCTCGTCAAGTTCCGCCTCTAATTCATCTTCACTAAAATCAGCTGATGTGACTTTGAAAAAAGTAATGCAGGTCAATGAAAAAGGTAGTGGCACTGGCAACGAGGAAAAGTTTCTCTTTTGAATCTTTATTTGCATAGACATGAACAACTCCATCTTCCATCTGGAAATAGTGATCAGATTTCCCCTCTGGAGTATAATCAAAGGGGCATAGGTTTGGTTTTGGTGTACTCGGGTCATATATAATTTCCTTTTCACATGGAGCAGCAGTTTCCCTGAATACGTTACTTTTTCAAATTTCAAGGCAATCTTGAAGAGTTCGGTAGACTTTCACCTTATCAGTAGAAGGTGTCTCTGCAAGGAAAATTCTCAATCAAACAAATGTCTCATGCTTTGGTTCTTTTCTAAGAATATCAGCAGCTACTGGATCAGGTTGAAGACCATACAGGTCACTAGTTATACTCTGTGAGCGAATCATACTTGCATCCATGTTTCACACTTTAATCTTCAAAATGGACTATTGTTGGTCTCCATAGTCCATCTTGACGGGTGTGCGTTGGAATATACGACATCAACAGTCTTCCTCCAGAGATTTCCATCTCAACAGTTCAAATTCTACCTCCAGTTGTCAATGTTAGTTACTAGTTATGTTATTAGTTTGTTTGCTAGGTAGGTTCGTTGATTAGTTAGAAAGTTAGTTAATTACTCTACCATTTTTTCTATAAATAGAGTCTATGCATTGAAAAATCATTGGATTGTTGTATTCCAATCCGTCTTTTCATTGCGATTTATCTTCTTCCTTTCATGTTCCTCATTTGATGGAGTGTTATTTTCCTCCTTTCATGGATTGTATTTTGTTCTTCTCTTTTTA